GTCCCCCGGAGGAGGTAAAAAACGGCTCTTTCCAAAACAATAAACTTTTAATTCTGAAGCAGTTATAACCAAAAGCTGTACAGAGTTGGATTTTTTTTTGTTGTTTGTATTTTTTTTTTGTTAGAAAACAATTTTTTCTCCCCCATAAATACTCTTCAGTTCCCGGCACTTTGTATCAATAATTAAATTACGAACGATAAATATGGCATCATGGATATGTATTTACAAAAAAAAGTTATTACAAAAAGGCAACTGTTATACTAAACGTCACAATCTGGGTAGAATAAACACCACATCCTCATCCTGAAAAATACTGACCGACCCCATCAGACGAGAATACATTCACAAGTGTAATGCTTGGAGAGAGAGGAGAAAGAGGAGGAGAGCAGAGAAAGGAGCAGCAGGAGAGCTAGAAAGTTCAAGACATAACAGGACTTTGGCACGGTTTAAGACTGTAAGTTTAAACAATCACCACTAAGGCGAAGGAGAATTTTCATCCTCATGTCAACATCCCACCGAAAGAAGGAAAACCAAAACAAATGAAAAATAAAAAAAGTGGGGAATCGGCGGAAGAGGGACTGGGGCAGGGAGGGGGGGAAAAAAAATATCGAAACGACTGCGACTGCAGAAAATGACAACAAAAAAAAAAAGAAATCCAATCCTGAGAAAAGGACATGGCTAGTCCAGCGTCTGGGCTTGCAAAAAATAGTAATAATTATAATATAATAATAAAAGACATCCCCCCCCCCCCTCAAGATCCTGGAAGTTAACTAGGGGTAGCCCTAGCCCTATGCGGTCGTCGGTGTTGGAAACTCCATTTCCGTGGGAGCGAGCTGCAGTTGGCTTGGTTTGTCCTTTTTTTTCCTTGTTCCCAACGCATTTGGTCCAGTCTCTGGCTGGGCAGCAGCTGCCTTCACACATACCACTCATTAAAATTGGGGGGCAGTCCAGGGTTGTGGCCGGGGTTACTCTGGAGGGCGGCCGGCGGCGTTTTAGTGGAGTCCTTACTGCCGGCGGAGCCCACCGCAGGGGGGGTGGAGGACTCGTATCCTGAACTGGCTGCAGGGGAAGAGTCCGACCCCTGGGATTCGTGCACCTAAAACCAAGAGGCAGAGATGGGAGCGAGCTCGGGGTCCCCACCACCCCGCTGAGCCGGGTTGGGATGCTCCCCCATGCAGGAGGGACACCGGGGTCCAGTGGCGTGGGCTCTGCCCGGCCACCCCGAGCAACCGGCAGCAAACGCCTGCCTCAACTCCCGGTCACTTCGCTGCAGCGTCCCGGCGTGGGGGGCTGCAGCCACAGGCCAGGTTGTATTCGCACAGCCCTCCAGCACCGAGCCACGCTCTGGAAACCAGGCAGCACTTGCACGGGTGGGAGCACAAAAAGAAACTACGCCATTTCCCCTGGCTGTGCTCCAGCCACGGCCTAGACACCGGGGACCGCTCAGGCCACACCGGCAGCGTGGAGCTCTGCAGCAGCCACCGCTCAGCTCTGCCCTGCCCTGGGGAAACGAGCCCTGAGCACGCCAGCAACTGAGCATCCCTGCTCAGGGAGGAAAGGGCTGGGGCGCAGGGGTGATTACCTTCATGTGTTTCCTAAGTGAGCTGGGGTGGGTGTAGGATTTGTCGCACACCTTGCAGATGTAGGGCTTGTCCGAGGTGTGGACGTGCATGTGTTTCTTCCTGTCGCTGCTGTTGGCGAAGCGCCTGTCGCAGCCCTCAAACTCGCACTTGAAAGGCTTCTCACCTGTGAAATTCAGAGAGGGTGAAGGAGGGCCGCTCCCCTCTCCGTCCCCGCCTGCCTCCTCCCAGGACAACCTCTGCCCCGCTCACCCCACCTTGGGGATACACAAGCACCCCAAAAAGATGAAGAAGGGAAAGACGGACGGCAGGGTTTGTTACGTGTCGGATAAATTCGGGCCAGCCTTTGTTACTTTTAACTCGCCTCCTGCCAGACCCGCGCTGCGCTCCGGCGGGGGCGGCGGCCGGGCGAGCCCGGGGAGGGAGAAGACCCGAGCTAAATTCAGCGGCTCGGACAGTTTTACAAGACTTACTTAAGGATACAAGCCAAAATACGTTTGCTTCCTGACTCCCCCCCCTCTTCCCTCCACCCGTGCGGAGGGCTACAGGGAAGATGGGGCTGCAAATAAAAATACTTCGACAAAAGTATCGCTGATTTAATTAGGAGAGACGCCGATCGGGCCTAAAAATAAAATAAAAAGGAGCGGAAGTCACCGAAAATGAGATTTCATTAGCATTTCTATGGTT